CTGGGCCTGTGAGCCATGGCCGCTGCGCCTGCATGTCCGGAGCCTGTGCTCTGCAACGGGAGAGGCCACAACAGTGACAGGCCCGTGTATCGCAAAAAAAAAAAAGAAAAAAAAAAAAAAAAAAAAAAACTGTGGTTACCAAGGGCACAGGGGAGCGGGGGAGATGGGGAATTAATGTTTAATGGGTATAGAGTTTCAGTATGGAATGATGAAAAAGTTCTGAGAAGAGATGGATGGTAATAATAGTTGTACCACAATGTGAATGTACTTAATGCCACTGAATTGTACACTTAAAATAGTTAAAATGGTAAACTTTATGTTATATATATTTTATCACACAGGAAACCTTTTAAAAAATAATACCTAAAGAATGCTCTATAGAAATTTAAAAACAACCTTAGTACTCTCAAATGTCATGAGCCCAAATTAAAATCACACAGATTAAGACTACTCTGAGAAAAATCGCAGAACATTTAAAACAAAAAATTAGGTACTTGTTAATAACCTACCCGATTCCTTTTCAGTAATAAACAAATTTAGTTCTAGTCGTCCATATTTATATATAGAAGTACAGGAATATAGGTCATGTAAAAGTTTCCAAAGTGCACTTCTCTCAGTTTTAGGTGGTAAGATCCCAATTGCTTTTAAAGGGGCACCTGTTAAGAATACAAGCAAAAATATTTAAATAAATTCTTAACACTTTTTTCCCTACGACCATATTTTACTGAGTCAAATTAGGTTAACAAACTATATTACTTTAAGGTTGTTTCGATCAAAACTAGGCCTTAGCATCTTTCCTTGATCTGGAACTTGGCTTCCACAAAACTGCTGATTGTATCTGGGTGAGGGAAAAGCCATATTCAACTTAAGAGCAACCACCCATAAACTGTGTAATATAAACATTTACACAAATCTCAACAAACCTGGTGTACTGCTAGAGAAAGCTGACAAGTTATAAGGTACTTGCTTTACTGAATGACAAAAATCACCTTTTGACCAAGGCTGTGCTTCTATTCCCAAATACTGAAAAAGCATATCTGAAGTCATAACGGGAGGTGTTAGTATTCCACGACTTCTAGGATCCAGTTTAAAGAAGTCACAGTAGACCACTTCTAGTCTTCCATTCACCTTTTTTCCTAAGGACTAAAGAGAGACAGAGAGAACATGTTTAGAAATTTCAGTGTTAGGCAGACCTTGTAACAATTCCAAGATCTACTTCAAAAAGTAATTCTTATAGAAAATATTGCTACCTCAATAAAGAGGCAAAGAAAACATTACTAACATACCCTAAAATGTAACAGTTAATAGAAATCAATTAATGTCTGAAAAGTGAATATAATATTACCAAGAAAAAGCCCCCAAAATAGAAACCTTCAACAAATTATTACATATCCTTTTACTTTCTTTATCTAAATGGTTTCTGTTATTCAGAGCTGTGATTCATCTGCTAGTCATGGGAAGATGTTTTAACAGAAAATAACAATAAAAATATTAAAGTGAAAGGCAGATAGATTCAAGAGAGCATTCCTTTTTTCCAGAACAGTTTAGTTAGTCCTTCACCAAATGAACTTAGCTCACTGTGTAGGTCACTCTCCATTTTCCTCTTAATTGTTCACTTACTTTTTGTAAAGACAGAGCCAACTATAGAAGGAAAGCTCCCTGCACACTAGAAGATGTCCAATATACCTCAATCTTTTTACTGCCCTGATGTGCTCACCTGGCAGTAGCGCTGGAGAACTTAGTAGTGAGAGGAAGTGTTAGCTATAGACCCTACAAACTTAATTCAAAGTTACAAAAAATCAAATAGAAGAGAGCAAGGTTTTGATGTGCACACTGAGGTTCTCATGCACAGAAAATTCTACTGGTATTTATCAAGGTTTCAATGAATTTGCAATTTAAAGTTATGAGTTAAAAAACCTAAGTCTTCTTAACCATTTGAATTCAACCTATAAATATGGTTCTATTCCTAAATTTAGTAAATTTTAATGATTACTTTCAAGAGGACCCTTGACAAAAACTAGTGAAAGGAACAGACTGGAGGTAGAAACCATATATTTTTGGTCCTGTTAATTTTGAGATGCCTATTAGGTGATTAAAGTGGAGATGCAGGTAGGAAGTTATAGACCTGAATACTGAAGTCCAGGCTGAAGACATAAATGTGCTGAAATAAGACACAGTTTACCACAAAAGCTGATGTCTCTTCATCTGAACACATACAGATATTTCTGCAGCAATAGTCTTTACAATTCAAACGAGATATATCACGATTTATTATTATTTTGGTTTTTTTAAAGATATTTTATCTTTTTTAAAAAATTGAAGTATAGTTGTTTACAATATTGTGATGATTCATTATTACAGAACACAATTGGCAACATGTGTATCTCTAGCACATCCAGATAGGAAAACAAACTGTTCCTGCTTGAAACACTGTTAATGTGAAGTCCCAGGAATTTTATCAGGGAAACGGAGTAGGGGTGAGAGGGATTTTTTTTTTTTAATTAATTAATTTTTGGCTGCATTGGGTCTTCATTGCTACGCGCGGGCTTTCTCTAGTTGCAGCGAGCAGGGGCTACTCTTCATTGTGGTGCGTGGGCTTCGCATTGCGGTGGCTTCTCTTGTTGCGGAGCACGGGCTCTAGGCACGCAGGCTCAGTAGTTGTGGCTCGCAGGCTCTAGAGTGCAGGCTCAGCTGTTGTGGCACATGGGCTTAGTTGCTCCACGGCATAGGGATCTTTCTGGACCAGGGATCGAATGTGTGTCCCCTGCACTGGCAGGTGGATTCTTAACCACTGCACCACCAAGGAAGTCCATGGGATTTTAAATTTAGATAAAAACCCAGAGTCAAGCATTATCCTTGAAAATAATTTTAGTTCTTAGGAGCAAAACTGTGAGCCTTTGGGTGGCTAGAAGCACTGTCTGCTAAGAGCACCACTTCAAGGCCCTGATTCAGGGCTGCAAAGGTGCTAGATAAATGATTACTTCTCTTTTATTCTTGCAAATATACATGAATTCACACAAAACTTTGAATGGCTTTTCACTTTACAATGAGTGAAAGAACGTGTACTAATGGCTGAGCTCAAGTTAGTGTTGGGGGGGGAGGGGGGAATAGGGAGTCAGACGTTTAAATTTTGTGCTTTCATTAACAGTTTCAGAAACATTTTATGACTGATATTCCTGTAAGAAATACTGTGAGGAATTCCCTAGTCCCTAGTCACTCTATTTCACTGATTCAACTGTTTTTAAATTGAGACTACTGTTATCTTGATCTTATAGAAAAGCAACCATTGTGTTACAGGATAACAAACTGTAAACAGAAGGACATTTTAATACCACCTTAATTATTTTGTGAACATGTAGATTAATCTTCAAAAGTACCCCCCCTTTAAAGACCAAGAGCTATTTTGTTTTTAATTTCCGGGTTGAAATTACAGATGGCTATGTTTACTAAATCACATTTCATGATCTTGAATCTTTGACTAATTTTATGGGTTCTTTTTCTCTTCATGTTTTTGGAATTCCAGCAGATTTAACATCAATTAAATAATCTGAATTCAAAAACCTTGAATTTTTTCAGTTGTAGAAAAACAACAATCTAATGTGACAGTTATATTTAAAAAAGCAGGATTTTGTATATATTTTCATCATTTCTTGTTGTCATCTTGCACTTTCAGATAACGCTATTTTACATGGTTTCAGGAAGTTGGCACAGAGAAGTATAAGTTTCCTGAGCTGAATCAAAAGATTTATAAAGGAGAGAAAGAGAAAAAAGAGGCTGGCAATGATGCAAGGAATTTCCACTTTACTGTTATGTGAACTTGTCAGCTATACATGAAGCCAAATTCACTAAAAAATCCATTTGGATAATGCCTTTACTCCATGCAATTTATTCGGAATACACCAAACTTTTCTTGCCTCTGAAACCCTAAGTCCAGAGTTAACACAGTCCCATTAACCTAATCTTAGCATTCCAATTAGATTCTAAGCTCACTTATCCCCTTCTAAGAAAGAAGAGGCACAGCATAGCCTGCTAGTACGTGGAAACAGGCCTAGAGATACCAGTTATACATTTCGTTCAGTCACCCATCTGTAGCAGAGCTAGAACCAGAAAAAAAGTCTCTGAATCCATCTTTCAGTCATTCAACAATCATTGATACTTACTGTGTTCTAGTCACTGGGGCTAAAAGCTAGTTTATTTTTAAACATCACTTTTAGCGGCATAGCCCCTAAAAGTGATTGTTTAAAAATAAACTGTGTGGGGCTTCCCTGGTGGCGCAGTGGTTGAGAGTCCGACTGCCAATGCAGAGGACATGGATTCGTGCCCCGGTCCGGGAAGATCCCACATGCCGCGGAGCGGCTGGGCCTGTGAGCCATGGCCGCTGAGCCTGCGCGTCCGGAGCCTGTGCTCCGCAACGGGAGAGGCCACAGCAGTGACAGGCCCGCGTACCGCAAAAAAACAAAAAAAAACAAAAAAAAAGTTTGTTAATTTGACTTCCCTAAACCACTCAAAGGTAGCTGATTGAACAATAAATTATTTTTAGAAACAAAAATATACCTCCAATTGTGGAATAAAAGTCTTGTCACTTTCAAGGGCAATCACTTTGGCACCACTTTCAAGCAATGCTCGCGTCAGGATTCCAGGACCTAATGTATTAACAGAACGAAAAGTTTATTTGCAAAAGAAACATCATCTTTTTCAATATCAAAGAAATTAGATGTTTTACCTGTATAATTTTAATTCTCACAACATTCTCAAAGTGGATATTACACTCCTGATTTACATATAAGGAAACTGCGGATTAGATACAGTCACTTGACTCCACCATCACAACTGGAACGTGGTGCTGCCTGGCTTTGAATCCATTCCGTTAAAGACTGCAAAACCTGCGCTCTTTACAATGTTTCACTACCTCTCAAGAAAAAACAAACAAACAAACAAAATAGTTGCCTCTAGCTTACCACTTACTCATAGACTCTCTGGATACTTTATCATCAAAGATATTGCCAAACCTAAACAAAACTGACTCCCCATGATAGGAAATGGTGCTTAAAAAGATTATTTTTCAAGAAGTCTATAAATCTTGTGTTCCCGGCATCCAGCTGCGGTCTATAGAAGATGCACGAAAGGGTAAGATAAAAGTTCTTTTGGGAAGATGGTGAAATCTAAGAGCATGTTTTATCAAAATAGTTTGTAAAGTGCAAACTGCTACAGAAATATCTTGTGGAGTGATGATTAACACAGGCCATATAAGCTGCTTAAAGGAACAGGCCATGTTTTATACAGTCTGCAGAAGTGAACATCCAAGAAAATGAAGGCCACGAGGGTCTCACCTGGATTGCACTCCAGGAATAGCTGGCAAGATTTTCGTTTTCCCCGTAGGATCCGCACCAAGGTCTCAGCCACTCTAGGGCTGGTTATGTACCGCTTGGTCTCTGAGCGGCATCTGTAAACACGCGAGGACGATTTTCCAAATCCCACACTGGGCATCAGGTGCGGGTAGTAGTCAGACAAGCCACGGCGGTTCCCCGCCGGGACGTCCATCAGCCTCACCGCTCCCGACTTCAAAATGCAAAAGCGCCCAGCGCGGGTCAAGGCTGACAGCATCAGCCGCGAGGGAAGTCCCACCCCTGGGACCCACATTCTCACCCTCTAAGGCCTGTCCCAGTGTTACCCAGGGTCGTTACATCGTCGACGAACTCCATACAGGGAAGCCCATGTGCTACATCTCCCTGCCCCGGGTCTAGGCCGGCGGAAGTAAACATGCCAAACCGTGCGTGCGAACGACCTCTCCATCTTGCCTTTGCCGTCACTTCCGTTTCCGTACCGGCGCAGACGCCCGAGGACTGTGAGTGGACGGCCGAGGAGAGAGACGGACCATCCAGGCGGTGTCTGAACTCGAACTCTATGGTCGTCCGCGCTCTGCGCCTCCTCTCTAGCCATCCGCGCTCTATGCTCCGCGGTGGCGGGCCGCCGGCCACTAGCCAGCCAGCCCTCCGGGAGGGGTACGCAGAGGGAGGCGGGGCGGGAAGGCTAGAGGTGTCTCCTCCACTCGAGCGGCGGGAGACCCGAGCAAGCTCTGTGACAGCTGGTCGGCCGCCATGTCAGCAAGCGGGGCTGGAAGCGGATCCGGCGCCCGGCGG